ATTTAACCAGTTATCTTCAAGTTTGTGAATTAACATGAAGCACACAACACTTCGCTTTCTGCAATTAGTTGCTATATACTTGAACGTTATAGTCAGTGACTTAAATGGAAAACATTTTGGAATAGTTTAAAACCCAAACAACGGCTCATAACACAGCCATGTTTGTAACTATCATTTTGATTATTTAATCACTGTAAACATCAAACTAATACGTTCCTCCTCGTTTCTAAATGTTTCAACGACAGACATTTCCGTACCAAATTCCATTTGATCTAATACCTGGTCAAAATTACCCTCTTGTGAGTCAAATTGACACGTTTGTCTAAAATTCCACATGGATCTTTAGCAAAGCAGATCACGTGGAACAAAACAATATCTAGAGAAGTTGATACAGCTAATTATACTATTTACATATCATTAGTACATTTAAATATACAAACATTCAAATCTACGAATACTGTGTACGGGCGACAGATTTTGCTTATCGCTGCTATGATAGGGCGACGCGCTCCAGTGTTAAAACGATCCTTAGGCGAAGGAATTTTGTCGTCGCAAACCATCTAGATCGATCCGTCGTGGTCCAAAATATTAGTATGCCGAAGTGCGCAGAGGCATGATAAGGTAAACTTGGGTTATGAGACTTTTTAGGTCCGTGCGCAAGTTTATGGGAAAAGTCAGCCTATTATAGTAATAAGTGGAATTATTACACAGTAATGTGTTTACTCATATAATTAACTCAACGCATATTGTATAGTTCAAAACTAAAATCGCTGGAAATTACATTAAAAATCACAACATGAATGCTTATATTTTTGCAGCTATTGATAAAGAAAGTACTCATAGCTGCTGTAGCAGTTAAAGTGTATATAATGTATGTTTTATTATTATCATAATTCTGTTTTGGCCGAGTTTAGTTTTGTTCCAGTTTATATTTAGACTTCTAGGTAGCCATTTGCTCAAATGGAAAACATTTTGGAATAATGTTACACTTTCCTATCTATCAATCTCATTGAACTACTTTCATGCAGGTTAGCAAAACTAAACATTCCTGCTCGTCATAGACTATTTATACCTCAAATACTTTCCTGTTAATTAAAACTACAACTTATTACGTCGACTTTAACGGATATACAATGTCCTGTACACGCAGTAATGTAATTTAATGTAATTAATTTTAACTGCAATGTTAATATGCTTAATCACGTCGTTTTACTTATCAATACATTAAAACATACAGCCATAGGCCTACTGACATACATCAATGTATTTACACATTATACATTAATATATGGAATCACCTGACATTCCGCTATACTGAAGCCCACAATATTCTTGCTATATCGAATTAAAAATGAATACTTACAATGCGCACAATTCCACCTAAAAATAGGCGCCTATGGCGCTCCAACAGAGAAATATTTAACACACGAGAAAAAAACGCATACTATATTAATAGTATGCAGGTTTTGAATTCCGGCTATACTGTAATCATTGAAACCGCTGATAACCATGTCATAACATCTATTTAACAAAACGTTCCACTTATGAAAACAACCGACAGAATATAGTTGATGAGACTTTTTCCCGGTGTGAGGCTTCTATTTTTTTAACAACTACCAAAGTCCTAATTCCTCACCCTTCTTTAGCAATCACTTATCCACAGTTTTTCTACACCATGAAAACCTTTCAGCGTCAGGGGAATTAAAGGCTTCCACTATGTAGTTTGTCCTTCCAAAGGCAGCACGAATGCAGCAATGTCTCACTGTGTTACAATACATTCCGCACGAGTATGTTCTTTCCTTCTAACTACAATCGGTTACTTTTTATACAACATTTCTGTTCATAATTATCGATGAAATTAAAACTCAGTAAAAAGAAAAAAAGAAAAACAGAGATATCCAAAAGATCAAGCATAAGTATAATAGACAACATCAAAATACACTGCAAATCGAAACATTATGCTAAAATAAACCAAAGACACCTACAACTAAATACAAAAAGCCAAACCGCTTTATTGAAAAGATCAGAGCATTGACGTGGGAATCGCACAAGAATAGTGTCACGTACAATCTTTAAAGTTGAACAAACAAAATGAAATGTTTGAAGGTAGCTTACTTGATGAATGTGTTCTTTTATAAATGAGATTGTACCATCCGCTGCCAACCGGTGGATGATGCCAGGATTTTAGCATTCCTAGTGTTAGATTTAACCACGTGTTGGTGAATAGACGAATTGAAGAGGGTGCCACAAAACAAATCTGTCTTCATGTCATTGCCTGACAATAAGCTTCCTCTCTATAGCATGCAGGTCTTAATTAAAAAAAAAAAAAAGTTTACAATTGACGACATAGAAGAATGACAATCTTTACGATCATCGTCAGGTGCCCGTGGGTCCACAAAGAAACATAAGACATTATCGTCGTCGTCATCATAATCATGATTGTTGACCGTTTCATAGTCATCCATCTGAAAGATAGAGTTACTATCTTGCCGTGGAATATCCAAGCGTTTAAATAATATAAAATAAAGAAAACCATCTGAAGGCATCCATTCTCTTATTGCGCGTTTTCCCATGTAAGCCTGAATGTTATCTGGTTTATTTCATGATCCTTAGCTCAACTGTCCCTTGTGTAAAATTTCTGGGAGATTGCAGCTATAATTCTGCATTTTGAACTCTCTGTTCCATCGGGCATTGCCATTGTGTTAGGCTGAACCAATGTTATTCTTCAAAATTTGCCGCATCTAGCACTAGCTATATTCTTCGTATGATCCGAGAGTGAATAATCTTGTGTATAATTCTAATTTCCGTAACACTAGTTCTTCTTCTAAATATACATGTGCATGTATGTGGTACATGTGTTAAGATTCATGTCACGCAAAGCTGTGGAGTATGTTCGTTTGCCACTTAACACTGACCAATAAGAGTAGCAGGGACCTCACTCCTCTTTTGAAGCTCAAAGACAAAGGTCATCAATAAAAGTGTACATGAATACAACCTTCCCCTCCTTCATTACCCAGTTGTTACCAATGTTGTGCCGAGAAAATGGATCGGGAACTGGGCAAACTAATGACAAACATATTTTTCTCACCTCAAAAGAAAACATGCCAGCACATTTTTTGACATCAATTCAGGTCTGCCAGGTAATTTACCGACCTCTCTAGCCAAATAGGGGTGCATCATAGTGACAGAATTGTGCATTTTATGATAAAAGCATAAGACTTGGCACTTGAGGTCTCCGTACCATGGCAAAAAGTTTCATATATGGAGGCATTTCATATCTGACCTCTGGTGACCTTTGAGAGGTCAATAACCTTTGAATGTTCTATTTATACCTATTGTTCTGGAAAACATCACTTTTCTATGACCTTTGTCTATGTATAGATTTCATACAAAGTATAACTACCTAATGCGGGAAATTTCACAACTGACCTTTGAGGACCTTCCAGGGGTCGATGACTTTTGTATTTACCGTGCTTACTCTTACACTTTTTACAATTTAAACTATTTAAACCCCATTGTTTTCAAGACCTTTGTCATAATTTTTAATAATAAGTGGCCTATGCTATGAAAAGAAATTCATATTAAGGGAATTTCATATCTGACCTCTGATGGCCTTAAGGGGTCAATGCAATGTGCCCATCCTATGTATAGATAAAAGAGGATTATCTATTCAAAACACCACTTTTTATAACCCATATCTAAATGCTGGGTATTCTTGCCATGATATGAATTTTCAGATACGTATGCATTTCATATTTGACCTCTGATGACCTTTGCGAGGTCAACGAATTTTGTGTATTCTGATTGCCATTATTTATCATATTTAATCGTCCAAATGAATTTTAATTTTGCACTTTTCCATGACCGGAGTCTAATTAGTGCAAAAGGAGTGCATCTTAATAATTATTCTACAGCATGTCATGAAGTGAGACCCTTAATATTTTTTGGGTATGACCTCTGATCTCAATTTTCCTTTGTATAAGGGCAGACACAGGCGCAACAGAATAAAAGAGGCACATCAAACAAGCATCACTCTTTAACAGTGACCGTTGGGTTTGGTAAAAAGGTTAAAAACGCGGTTATCCAAGTCCATGTGGATGCAACAGGGTGTAATAAGTACTCAAGATTAACCATTTTTTTTTTACATATGTATATTTCCCATTAAAAAACAGACCCACCGATTCTTATTCCAATCTCATCATATTGCGTCTGCAAATATAACAAGGAAAAAAGAACTCAGAGATCATCTAGAAATAGTTGGTGAGGCCTGAATTTATAACATGACTGTTAAATAGTAGGTGCAACACCGTTCTTTGGCACTATTGAGGCGTGGTTCACGAAAAGTGGCGTTTTGACGAAAATATATAATAAATAATGGCAACTAAGATTCATTGTTCACTGACCTTTCCAAGGGTATCACCACGTCAGATATAATGTCCCTACATCTGAAAATTCTTTTCATGCCACAAAGAGTTACGTTTTAGATTTGGTTCATAAAAAAGTGGCATTTACAATTGCGAAATCTTATTAAAATCCACAGGTAGGCTATGGTTTTACGAAGGTCATAACCTCTCGTTAGGTCACCAAAGGTTGAATATGAAATGTCCTATATATGGAAAATTCGTTCTCTTTATAGCATGAACACCTTTCATTTAGAAATTAATCGTGAAAAAAGATGGGTTTAAAGAATAAATATAACAAATAGCTATAAACAAGTTTTCCAAAGTCATTGACCTCTCAAAGGTTACCAGAGGTCAGATATAATTTGTTCCCACATCTGATCATTATTTTTATTATATGAAGACCGTTATGACATAGATTTGGTTCATAGGAAAGTGAAGATTTGAAGAACAAAGTTATAAATAGAGTATGTACAGCTCATTGACTCCTCAAAGGTTACCAGAGGTCAAATATGAAATTCCTCCATATTTTCTTAATGGCATGAAAAACCAACCTGCGAAATTCCATGCTTTTATCACTTATTGCACAGCATGTTGGGTTTATGCCGCACCACTAAAACCCAATTTGTGCTTTAATTTGTTATACAACCTCGCCACGGCATTGCGCGATGTATCTGGAGCTTCAGCTATTACATCCTTAGCGTTTTCTCTGCGTTTAGTTGCTTCTAGATACCCAACTTTTTTCTCCCAACCTGGAGTTTTGGTTGCCTTCTCAGTTTCAATCATCATGTCTATGTACTCTATTATTCCCATGGGATTAGGCTTGAGGGCAATCTCTTCAAGGCGCTGGGTACATTTGTGAGACTCCCTGATCAACTCATGCACAGCAGTTTCCGCATCGTCCCTATCAGCTTCGACTTTCTTTAACACTTCTTCAAAGGTTTGTTTTCGCCCCTTTGCGCTTCTACATTGCTTCTCGAAATCATCATACGTTTGTACCTCGTTTACCATTTTCCAATTATATCTGAAGTACTCGTGAACGTGGACGCCTGAGGAACACTTGTCAGGACAAACAGTGCAATAACCCATCCACGTCATTGCACGGCACAAAAACTTTGCTTGAGAGTAGGTACATGGGTGATGACAGGTGAAGCGGCACTGGGTGCAATTTGTGGAGCCACTTGTCTGATTTGGAATTTTTTCAAGTTTGGCAACGGTACCCTTGAATATGAAAGACTTATTTGCTTCTATTTCCTGTTCATGTTCTTTAAACAATTGTTTCATGTTTTCAAAGTGCTCCGTCTGTTCGTGAGCAAACTGAATCTTCTCCTGCAACCCTTGAAGAGCAATCTCCAAACGTTTTCTTTCCCTCAGAACTTCTACTGTGAGAGTAAGACTTTGAGGCTGTAGGCCGTCAAGAACACAAACAAACTCGTGCATACTTGTGTAACCCATTTCCCAGTACCCTATGCCAAACTGATTTTGACTAGCAAATAGTACCGAGTTGTTGAACTTGAACGTATTACCAAACGGTAGATTTGCCTCTGTAACTGCATCGAGGACTACCGGTCGTGACCCGTCACAAAAGGTGATGAGCATCATTATATTTGCCTCGATATCCTTTCCAAAAACGGAAAGGATCGAGTCAAATACATACTTCTGTGCTGGGGTGAGACGTGGTTGTGAAGACTGAACAACAAATCCTACAGCATCTATGTGATCCACACCATGGGCCGTAGAGTTAGAGAAAAAGTCCTTGATCTTATCAACATTGGCTTTGTCGCGCTCAATACCTGCAGTATCGCCGAACCCTGGCGTGTCAATGAGTGTCAACGTGTAGGAAAGGTTTATGTGATCATTGTTGTGGATTGTGTACGATGTTATATTTTGTGTTTGACTGTAAGCCTGTGATCGAGACCCTCGTTCCTCTACCAGCTTAAATCTGACGTTATCTTCCCACTTCACCCCCAAGATGTAATTGATCATCATATTGATTAGGGTACTTTTACCGGTGCCTGTAGCACCAACGACCATTATTACCTTGTGATGTGAGTGCATCCCCGATTGCACACCGAAACTGTAACTACAGAATGTTTGTGACGTAGAAACTGACTCCTTCTTAAAAGGAACCATGTAAATGTCTGGCTCCCCATTTCCTGAAGACACCAATTGCGAGCTCTTGGCAAGCTGTTCAGCATAGCTGACCACACTGCCGGCACTGTGACTGGCGATGGCGGTACTCGTACGCTGTAAAAAAAATAATGGGTAAAACACTGTTGGGTAATATAATTTAACCCAACATTGGTTTGAAATAACCCAATTGGGGTAAAAATGTTCCAACAATTGCGAAAAATTTGCCCAAGAGTTTCAACCTGTTGATAAGTTGACCAACAATGTCTACATATCAACCCATTTTGCCCATCGTGTTTGCAGTGTTACGAAGTTTTCATCTCCAGATTGACCCTAAAAATGATCACATATTTAACGTGCGTATGCTCCAACTGCACCAGCAATCACAACAGCAACCACAACAACAACCCTCTAGAACTATGTCTATTTGATTAGCAAAACACGAGCCTTTTCCGCATGAAAAACAATATATAGTAAAGAAATATATTTGAAAATTCATAAAAAAATCGCAAAGAAATCGATAATGTTATTATGAAATCACTTCGGATTTTACATGCAAATGACATTAACATACCTCCCACCAAGTTTTATGACAATCCAACCAGCCTTTGTGTATCAACATTTTTTCGTTTTTAATGAAAGTTCATAACATCAACACATTGTCCCAAAAAGGCAAAAACGGATAAAGTGAGCAAATTTCGCGAACAGGTGTATGTACGTACGTACATGTTGTGTGGGTGGAAGTGATAAGACTGCTGGTGTTTTACAAGGCTATTGAAGTTGAATGAAATTTTGCAGTTTTCAATGCACGATAAGTGCCAAGCTAATTTGCCGGAACATGTATGTCAAGTACATGATCTGCCTGCGTTACGCCTTATTTGATGGCTAGATGGCTAACAATTTAAATAATTAAAAGTGTGTAAAATTGCCTGCAAATATAAACGAAAACGAAGTTAAAAAAAATATTGTAAATAATAAAAACAGTAAAAATGAGTACCGTTAACATGCTAAGAAACAAAAACAAAATAAACAAGCGAACAACAAACACCCAACACCCCAACAAACAAACAAACAAGCCAACAAACAAACACCCCAACACCCCAGCACCCAAAAAAAAAACCAACCTACAAACAGACCTAACAAACAAACACCGAACAAACACCCCCCCCAAAAAAAAAATTGTAAGTGATAAAGACAATAAAAATGAGTACACTTAACATGCTAAAAAAACGTACAATTAAAACTATAAAATAACCAATTGAGGCTGCTGATTGTGTTTCTTTATTTAAACTATTCCAGACAGTAGCCCCAGCAACAAAAAGACTATGCTTTATGCACTCTGATTTGTATTTAGGAATGAACAGGGTGTTACAACTGATAATGTAGTAACCAACGGATAACGTATCACTAACCGATAATGTATCACAAATTGACCGATATTGTATCACTAACCGATAATGTAGCAAAAATTGACTGATAGTGTAGTAAAATTTGTATCCGCTAATGTATCACGTGTCGACGGATAATGTAACTACAAAATAACTGTATCCGATAATGTATCACCACGGAACGGATACTGTATCAATCGATAATGTATCAAAAATCAACCGATAACGTATCAGTATATTTGGAAAAGGTGGAAATATTGCAATTTTGCAATTAATTAACCCTAAAGGGGCCGGGTAATTTTAACCATCTCTCAGTCCGGGGGGGGGGCCTAAGATCTCTGCCATCGAGTGACGAACAATTTTGAAACTCGGCACATGCATAGAGCAACTCTTCCTAAACATACCCAAGAAATTTTATGACTATAGGTCAAAGGGTTTTGGAATTATGGCTAATTAATTATTCGTATGTACGAATGGCAATTCTGCTCTGTGTACACGACGTATATGCGAAAATTCAGCTTTTACGGCGCGTAGCGCCGGAAATTTTTTCGCTACGCGGCAACCCGTGGTCCAATTTTTATGTTTTTGGTATCAAAAGATTCGCAAAGCTCAAGGCCAAAAAGTCAAAACAGCTCGGGTCGCGAAAATTTTTTTTAGAGGCTATCACGGAAAATGTTGAGGGGGGGGGCGGATTCCGCCCCCGGCCCCTTTAGGGTTAAAGTCTAATAAGTGTCTTTGCTATGATAAGTCCCCACTCGGGAAAGTTTATCATTAAGAATATTTTTTAACTGCATTCGCACATCCGCGCCGAAAAGTGGACAAGTTCTTTTCTCCGGACACTTGGCCTCCGTTTGGGCTCCGTGCTCCAACCCAAGAGGGCGCGTTTTACCACTTTTGAGAGCACCATGTATGGAGATCAATGGACGGGACACAGCATGTGCGAACTGTACTGTACTGGTTCCCGCGCAAAGTTCAACGCCACTTTCAGAATGTGCCAAGGCTATTAGCCGCAGCGTCTTCGCATGATTGTCAGGCAACGTCGGCGCGCGCATACGTTCAATTTAACTTGCGATGGTCTCACAGACTATTCCCTCCCCCAATAACTTTGCATCATTCAAAATACGCAGTGGATGGACCGGGACCAGTCTAGGTCCTGCCCCAACTCTCCGTTTCTGGCCGTTAAAGGGGCACTTGTGCACGGAGCCCATAGCTCCATGGTAAAATAAAAAAAAACTGACGGGGGGAGACCACATGACACTGGGGGCGCTGTTCATGATACAGATGTATTAGCACATTTCAAGCTTTTTGTGCTTTTTCTCCCTTTCTCAGTACCATTTAATGCATTTCGGCGGTTGGAAAGTTTGAAAAACACCTCAAAATCTGCTTTTTTTTCTCTAAATGCAAAAGAATGGCGGTGGGGTGATCCAATAGCCCAGACCCCTTTCCACGGTCAAAAAGTGGGGCGGGATACATAGGACATAAAACAAACATTTGTGTACACCTTTTCCCCGTACTGATACATTATCGGTTGATTTTTGATACATTATCGGTTGATTTTTGGTACTTTATCGGTTGATACAGTATCCGTTCAGTGGTGATACATTATCGGATACAGTTATTTTGTAGTTACATTATCCGTCGACACGTGATACATTATCGAATACAAATTCTACTACACTATCAGTCAATTTTTGCTACATTATCGGTTAGTGATACAGTATCAGTCAATTTGTGATACATTATCGGTTGGTGATACATTATCCGTTGGTTACTACATCAGTTGTAACACAGGGTGTCATCAGTTGCTTGTCTCGTGGAGTGATGGTGCATGTCAGTTATCTTAATGAAATCTTCTTTCAGGTAGGTAGAGGCAAGATTGTAGGTACATATGTACATGAGTACTGCCCGCAGGTAGCAAAATCGTTTTTGTAATGGCATCCAGCCTAGTCGTATTAAATAGTGCACTTGAAGGAGTACCATATCCTTTACATAGAATTAATCTGGCAGCACGTTTTTGGAGTTTATACAGCTTGTCTGTGTGCATGTTGAATCTTTCTGACCAGATTTGCGAACAGTAATCAAAATGGGGTACGATAAATGCATTATAAAGTAATTTGACAGAGTCAGCCGTAATATATGCCGGAATATATATATTCACCCTGCGAATAATACCCAATTTTGCTTGTACAGTACTCATAACCTTGTCTATCTGATAGGTCCATTTCATCCCATCATCAATGATCACACCTAGATATTTGGTTTTATGTACTCTTTTAAGAACAATGATATTTATTCTACTCTGAAATCGACAACGTCTGTAAGTTTTGCTCTAGATCCTATGACCATCCTTTTGGTTTTATCATAATTTAAAACAAGACGATTTGTATTCAGCAAGCTAGAGATCTACATCAAGGTAGCCTTGACCAAGGCTATCAGCTTGTTCCCATATGAGCTTGTTCCCGCTACCGCACACCGCGCGCAGCGACACAATGTTGTACTATACCGTTAGCCCCAACGACCCTTGCGTGTGCTTTGTGTGCATGTACGTACGCCCCACACACCCTTCCGCAAACAGCCGTACAGTAAGTCGAGGCGGAAGATAGCCTTGACGCAACCGTGGCGAATTCCTAATGTGTTTCTTTATAGTTTCGACCGAAATCGGCCGAGAATTTCTGATGCGCATATATTACACGATATACAATCAAAGCCCTTAAACTTTGACCCGCGACATTCATATTCATGACCCGCAAATTACTGTATACACCACGTACATGTACATATACATGTATGTTCACTCAAACCATGGTATGTCCAGGTATTTCAATCCCATTTTAAACCATTTCTTCAGTTTATTACAAACAAATGAAATATGCCGCTATATGAGTGAACAATTGTTCAAAATGATACTATTTCCAATGTATTGCGAATTGGACAGTTCAAGACAGTCCGCCGACGTTTTGCCGGTGCAACAGCGTACATTATCACGCCGCTACCTGCCCGTGCTATTCTGACAGCGAATGTAGGGAACAGGTCAACTCGGACCCAGGTCACATCGTACCCATTTAATCGAATGCAGGTTAACTCGTATCTATAAGCACCTGTATGAATTAACTGCAAGAAACGAGCCTGTCATGACATCCTTTTGGCTAAACTTTCTTTTTATGGAATTAGAGGAATTGCCTTGGAGTGGTTCAGGAATTATCTCACTAACCGTAAACAATTTGTTTATTTTAATGACAATCAGTCTTCTACTAAAGATCTACTATGTGGAGTTCCACAAGGATCTCTATTAGGACCTTTGCTTTTTTCTATTTACATAAATGATTTTGATAAATCCCCTAGGATCCTGTCATTTATTTTATTCGCAGATGATTCCAACTTATTTTATACTCATAGTAATCTGACCACACTTATTAATACGGTTAATTTAGAGCTAATTTCTGTTTCTAAATGGATCAAAGCCAACAAATTATCTCTCAACATTGATAAGACTTGTTTTATGTTATTTAGTAACAC